CCCCCATCCCCCGCTCCTCCTCCCTCCCCCTCCACGCCCCGCCACCCCTCGCCTCGCTATCTCCGACCCTCCTCAGGTTCTCTTCTCTCCCTCTCATTCTTCGTTTACCTCCTCGCTTCCAACAGGCCTACCTGAGTCACTTTTTTAAAGTTTCTTTTTTTAATTTACAGTTAACGGGAAGGTTTCAAAAGGAGTCAGAGGAACCCCCTCCTGCCGTTTACCTAAATTCGCCAATTGTCTCCTTTTGCCCCATTTGCTGGCCTTTACCCTCAGTAGTAGGGGCCCTCTCTCCCCGACCAGGCCACCCGGAGGTCTGTCCTGGCCACCCACTGAGGGCCCTGCAATTCCAGGGATGGGAAGTTGACTTTGACGTTAAAGAAGTTAAAGAACAGCAAAACCCTCCTCAGGAGGGAACAGATGACTTCGAGTACCTTCTTAGACCTCGAAACCCTGGGCCGCTGACTTTGCCGCTATTCACACTTGAAGTGAGTTTATCAGCTTTTCTCCAGTCAGACTCTTAGCTGAAAGCAGATCCTCGTGCAAAGAAGAGTTGATCCTCAGAGACAGGTCCAGGGCGAGGGTGTCGCCCGTCAGGGACCACCTGAATTGGATTCTGCAGTTTGGGAACTTGGCGCTCACCAAGGGAAAGCTAGAATGAGAAAAGTAGAGAACAGGGAGAGGAGAGAGAAAGAAATAAGTTCTCCAAGGAAAGAACAAACCAAGACCTAAACAAAACAACCTACACGTTCTGGCTTCCCACTTCCTATCTTTGCAGTAAAGGTTTCCCTGAGCGACTACAAAACAAAATTCACGTAAGTGATAGTCCTTCGTGCAAAGAAGTCGGCCACCAGGGGACGTAGACTGTTGGAGAAACATAGGCTTAAATTCAACCTGTAACGACAAAATTACTCAGGCTTTGTCAGCGCTGTTCTAGTTCTGTTGCTTCTACAAGCAGCTGTGTGGCTTCCAGAGTCCAGTGTAGACGACTGGGAGGCTGTCTGCACCTGGGACGTTGAACAGTCTCAGAGTCCAGGCTCATGGGCTGGTGGGCTCAGCCTGAAACCGCACACCTCGGTTGGGACTCGAACCCACAGTCTTCCAACTGAAACCACACAGCTTGTCTCAGGACTTCATGTCTCGGCACAGAAGGAACTCAGTGAGAGGCAAAGTGATAGGTAAGAAATAAATTTATTAATAACCTTTGTAAAGAGGTTGCAGGAAAATAGGGTGCAAGAGGATGGTCATGCCCCAGGTCTCAAATGAGTCCCTGGAACAGGCCGTCAAGTGAGGTCCTTGGCTTCAGGCAGGAAAGAGTTCAAGAGCAGAGCCACAGTAAAGTGAAATCAGAGATACACATTCTATAGACAGAATGTGGTTCCTTCTCAAGGCGAGAGCGACCCCAAAGAAATACGGGATAGTTAGTCCATAGGCTAATGAGTAGGAGGATTATTCTAACTATTTGGGAGGGAGGGGTAGAGATTTCTAGGAACTGGATCACCACCCATTTTTTGGCCTTTTATGGTTGGCCTCAGAACCATCGTGGTGCCTGTGGGTGTGTCATTTAGCATGTTAATATATTACGAGTGTATAATGAGGCTCAAGGTCTACTGGAAGTTGAATCTTGCCACCATCTTGGGCCTAATGGGTTCAAACCACTTTATGTCATATCCTCAATAGCTATGTCATTCTTTTAAAGGTTGTGCCCTGCCCTCTTACCTCCTGTCTCCAACATGCCTGTAGACTTGTTTTCTTTTAATTTTTTTTTTTTTTTTTTTTTTTGCGGAACGCGGGCCTCTCACTGTCGTGGCCTCTCCCGTTGCGGAGCACAGGCTCTGGACGCGCAGGCTCAGTGGCCATGGCTCACGGGCCCAGCCGCTCCGCGGCATGTGGGATCTTCCTGGACCGGGGCACGAACCCGTGTCCCCTGCATCGGCAGGCGGACTCTCAACCACTGCGCCACCAGGGAAGCCCATCTTTTAATTTTTAAAAATTAGTTGCTAACCTTAAAATATTAGATTTCTTATAAAAATCTAGATGTTCAACTTTGGGGGGAAAGAAAGATTCATTCTTTCCATCAACACTGGACCTTTATTCCCCACATATTAGCAAAAGACAGTTATTAGATATGTTAGATGCAGTCCTTACTGCATCTGCAGCCAGATGCACACATTGCTTCCTGCCAGGTCTCTGCGAGCATTTGAGTGTGGGCCTCTGCCCTACTCCTCTGCTCCCTGGGAACACTCCTCCCCAGAAGGCTGACCTTCATCTTCTGCACTTAGCCTACTCTCATACCTCCCAGGGACTCTTTGGTACCTTGACCTGCCTCTCCCAAATCATGAGAAAATATTTTGGGAAGCCAGGTTGAAGCCATCAGTTGATATAAAATGTATGGAAACTGAGTGATGAGAAAAGGAAGTGAATATGGTCATAGACAGTTAAACAAATTTTACTTCATCAACATAGACGAAAAGGAGTTGATAAAAGACTATCAGACGACATATGAGAGGATATGGTTGTGATTAACATTGGTATCCTGTGCTTCATTCTTTCCCTCTTCTAGTCCCATGACTTTTAACAGTTTATTGAAAATAATAATAATTACAGCTCTATTTATTGACTATTTACCATACACAAGGAACCGTGAGGTTAGTGCTGTTCATATCCCCATTTTGTGGATGAGGAAGCTGATGCCTAGAGAGGTCAAGTTCCTTTCATATGTCACAAAGCTAGTGAGCACTGGTGGAGCTGGGATTTGAACGTGGGGTGTGATTCCAGATTGGGAGCTCTGGTGTCTGTGCCTTGGAACATCCGGAGGTCAGGGAACTGAGTCTGCCTTTTTGTATCTCTCCAGAGAGATATAGATGCTCAGAAACTATTAAATGATAGGAAGTAAGGAAAGGAGAAATGGGGGTGGGGGGGAGAGAAAAGGAGAAAGAAAGAAAAGAAAAATGGTGGTGAGAGGGATAGAGTTATCTTTAGGAATATGTAAAGCTGCCCTCATTCTGATTGATTACCTGGTAAATACCTACTCTTATTTCCAGTCCTAATCTCAGTGGTTCCTCCTCTATGAATCCTTTTCTGACTCAGATGTTAAGTGGCTGCAGTGCTGCACCTAGTTCATGCCTCCATTGTTGCACTTTTCGTGATCACTGTAAATTTACATACCTGTGTTGACTGAAGAAAAACACAACCTAAGAGTTTCAAGTTAAGTTTTAGTCAGGGACCTGACTGAGGACTATAGCCTGGGAGACAGCCTCTCAGATACTCTGAGGATCTGCTCCAAAGAGGTGAGGGAGGAGCCTGGATATACAGTTTTTGTTGAAAAAAGAAAAAAGAAAAGCATCAAAAGATCACTGCTAAATACAAAAAAACAGAAATCTCAAATTAATGATTTTAGTGCTTTTCTACATATGGGAAGATGCAAGAGCCTGGGCTCATTGAAATTATTCCTTTGATATTCATCTTAACTTTGTAGGGCCAGTATCCTGTTTTTCTCCATGCTGAATTCCCTAAAGGACACACCCTCAGGGTCAGCTGCAGTGGCTGATGGCTTGATTGTGGGCAACATTCATTGTTTACTGGAATGGCAGGCAACATTCCCTTTCCACACCTCTCTCCCATGCTAGGCTCTGAGCTCTTTGAAGGTAGTGTCTCTCTGGCTGCTGCCTAGTACTTAGTATGGGCACAAAATCTGTAAATCAATGAATGGCCTTTTATGGGGCATGATCACATATTAACAAGTAATACCCTTCTATCCTCTTACTACTCAGCACCTGCTTTTTGTATGGTTTGAAGTGAAATTTGGGAAGCCTACAGAGGAGTAATGATGGTCGCCTCCATTTTATATTTGTGCATTCGGAACCCACAAAGAGAGAATAGGAAGGAAAAATAGGAAGAGGGATACAAGGCCAAGGAAGCTTCAAAGCTGTATATGCCACAACTTCTACAGGCAGCCTGTTTATTCATTCCACAACTATTAAGCACCTACTGTGTAGTGATGCTGTGCTTGGCAGTCAGATACAGCTGTAAGCAAAACAGTCAAGATTTCTTTTCTCATAAAGCATAAATGCTATGGGGGGAAAAGAAATAATAAACAAGTAATTAAACACATACATAAGATTTTTTTAAAATAGTAGGTTCTATGAAAGAAATAAAGCAGGGAGGTGGAGCAGAGTGAGCAGGCTGGGCACTCTAGGATGGGGGATCAGGGAAGCCTCCCCTGTGGAGGTGACCTTTAAGTTGAGACCTGAATAATGAGATGGAGCTAGACCTGAGTATCTGTGGAGAAGAGTGTTTTGTGCAAAGGGAGCAGCAAGTGCAAAAACACTGATTAGCAGGTATACTATTTTTATTTTTACTTTTTGGGGCCACGCCACGTGGCTTGCAAGATCTTAGTTCCCTGACCAGGGATTGAAGCCAGACCATGGCATTGAAAGCACCAAGTCCTAACCACTGGAACAACAGGGAATTCCCTGTTTTTAAATACAAGCAATATGATCCCTGATATTCAGGCCATTTATAATGTAGCTATGCATCTTATCTAACTAACCTGGTTATCTCTTCTCTCATTAGCCATTCCTCCCTTTAAAAGACCTAGTGCCCTCCCCCACATCCAAAATTCATCCATGTCTCTGATTTTTTTTTCACTCTTCTTTCTTCTGAAATATTCTTTTCTCTCCTTTGTCCTTCAAGGTTTACTTAAAATTCCATCTCCATTAAAAATTATTTTTCACATGGAGCTATTCAGTACCTTGATTGTGGTGGTGGATAGGCAATACTGCATGGGTGATAAAATTGTATAGATTTTAATACACACACACACACACACACACAAATGAGTACAAGTAAAACTGGGGAAATGAGAATCAGATCAGCGGTGTCAATAATCTGATTGTAAAATAGTACTATAATTTTGCAAAATTTAACTACTGGGGGAAATTGGACAGTGTACAGAGGAGCTCTCTGTTTTATTTCTTACAACTGCATGTAAATCTACAATTGTCTCAATTTTTTAAAGTAGATAACCAAAAAATTATATGTTTCCTGGAAATGAGGAAATTTTAAATTCTTTATTAATTTGAAAAAAATTGATTTTCAATTTGCTATGAATCCATGTCCTCCAGTCTACACATTTCTAACTTGCTGATTATAATAAGCAAAAGACATTGTCTAAATAAAAACATACCAGTCTTTTACCCTATCAAAAAACCATTCCAGCAAGATTCATGTGGAATAATGTCTTCTCAGGGAAAACTTGCTGGCACCTAGTAATGATTTCCTTCCCCCTTTTGATGTCCACATATTGCCCTTCAAGAACTTTGGCCAGGACTGGCTCCTACAGTCTGAAGAATCAACTTTCTTCCCCTTTTCCCAAACTGGAACAGTGTGTACCCATCAACAGTCCTCTGGCACCCCTCCCTGGCTCCATAGTCCCTGGACACCTGCCAACAATCTTCTCATATATAAATTCTATTGGTACCCCAGCTGGAATTGGTCCAAGCTTGGAGACAGCTCATTTAAAGGCAGGCATGCATTCTCTTACAATATCCCATTCATTTCGTGCTTCAGTATCTTCCTACTGATATCTGTATGATGTGTATCCAACATCACAAAAGTTAGAGCAGGTAAGCTGGTGTTCTGAGGTGGGAGCCAGGAGGTGCTGGATGCAAATCCATATCCTGTCATTTTCTAGCAATACGATCTTGGGCTCAGTGATCCAATTCTCTGAGCTTCAGTTTGCCCATTTGTAAAATAGAACTAATAATAGCTGCTATTATTATTAGGTTGTCAGATAACAGTGAAGAATGAATGAGAAAGTATTTGTAAGAATGGATAGCAACAACAAAGCAGATGAGGTGAATATATCTGCTTCCTCATCAATGTGTGAATTTATGTGAATTCATGGGACTTCAGAGCTGGAAGGTTCTGGAGAAATTGCCCAGACCTTCCTCCCACTCAGTGAGACCAGTATTCATGAAACATTTCAGCATTAAACGGCTGCTTTCCATCACCCATTACCATCACAACTTATGCACTTGAGCAACATATCTGTACCTTCCGTGCTCCATCAAAACCTGGAAAAGCCCTTTTCTCTGGTCCAGGTACTCTAAATTCTCTACCTCGTTAATTCTTACAAAAATCCTATAATGCACGCCCACTTATCTCCATTTTACAG